AGCTATAGAGGTTTAGTGTCCAGGTAAAAGGGGTGCTAAAAGTCCCAAAAGGTAGGGACAAATGGAAATAGAATACACATTAGGAAGCTAAAGGTGGAAAGCACATTGAGAGAAGAGGCTGAGGGTTCTCTTAGTTGGGTTCCTAGAGAAAGCAGCATTGATCGTAAGTAGTTTATATTGAGGTGCTGGGGAAACTAGTAAAGGAAGAGGAAATTATCAGGGAAAAGGAGTCAAACAAGGGTGGGTAACTGGAGCAAAACCTGTGGGAATAAAAAATGGGGAAACCTAAGGAAAGAATAAAACACACTCTTCACAATCTCAAGGGTGACAGAGCTAAGGTAAATAAATACACAACACCTGAGAGTCATTGATGTAGGACTGCGTATCTGAGGAATATGGGCAAGGTACTGACGGGCTGTAGAATAAAGGTTTATCTGTAGGACAGAAATGATAAACAGAATTGCAGGGTCTAAGGACAAGTGCATTTGTAATTTCAATAGACCTCTCCAAATTGTCCATCACATAGAGTATGCAAATTTACATTCAGACGGAAAATGTGTGAGTGTTTATTTCTTCATACCCTCCCAAAGTCTGTTTTAATTAACTCTAATCTTCTAGTTAAGCAAGCATTTCAGTGTAATTTTAATTTATCTTAATTAGGAGTAAAGTTGACAATCTTAACATATGTATGGAAGCCTTTTTTGTTTCCTTTGCTGAAAACTGCATTTCTTCCAGGTTATCAGTCTTTTTTCTTATTGAGCTGTAGAAAATCAACCCTTACTGATATGAAATGCAAGTGTTTTTCCAGTTCATTATATATCTTTGGAATTTCCTTATGGGTTTCTGTCTATTTCTCTCCAACTCCACTGCTGGACCAAGGCTCCATCAGCTCTCACCAAGCCTACCAAATCTTCCTACCCAATCTCTGCTTTCATTCCTGCCTCTTGGATACTATTCTTTCTCTATAAGACACAGTGGCCTTGATGAAATATGAATCACATCATACTACATCCCTACTCAAAATGCCCCAAGGGCTACTCTCAGAACATTTAAATCTAAACCACACACCTTGCTTACTTCTTTGAACTAATCTACTGTTCTGGCTAGAGCAGCGGTTCTCAACCTGTGGGTCTCGACCCCTTGGGCGGTCGAACGACCCTTTCACAGGGGTCGCCTAAGACCATCCTGCATATCAGATATTTACATTACGATTCATAACAGTAGCAACATTACATTATGAAGTAGCAACGAAAATAATTTTATGGTTGGGTCACAACATGAGGAACTGTATTTAAAGGACCAGAAGGTTGAGAACCACTGGTCTAGAGAATAATCTTCTTTGGGACCCTTGAACAAGCTGAACTTGTTGTGTCTATGGCTTTTGTGCTTTGTGCCCTTTGTGGTCCAATGTTATTTTTGGAATTCAAACAGTCTGGTCCAAATTAATTGACGGGATTGAATGTTGAACTTTTTAATGATCTTATTGCTCGACGTTGGACCTGCTCCTAGCGCCTGGTCTGTCGAGTCAGCCTTGAGGTTGGACCGAAAAGGGTTTAATATTCCTTCTGACTGGAATGTCCCTCACCATATTTCACAGGGTTTGTTTCTCCCTCAGTTGGCCATCAGCACGCATGTCACATCATGAGAGAGGCCTCCCATTCCCATCAAGGTCAAAATGGCACACATGCCCTAACCGGTTTGGCTCAGTGGATAGAGCGTCGGCCTGTGAACTGAAGGGTCCCAGGTTTGATTCCGGTCAAGGGCATGTACCTTGGTTGTGGGCACATACCCAGTAGGGAGTGTGCAGGAGGCAGCTGATTGATGTTTCTCTCTCATCGATGTTTCTAACTCTCTATCCCTCTCCCTTCCTTTCTGTAAAAAATCAATAAAATATATTTTTAAAAAAATTTTTAAAAAATGGCACACATATCTATACCCATACCCCCAGTTTCCATCTCTCCTCTGACTCTTTGTGTTATCTTTATTTTAGTGCTTAGCATAATATCTAGAATATAAGAAATTCTTAATATTTTACACAAAAGTATGTCTCAGAATAAAAGGATATTGTCTTACATTCAGAGTCTTATAATTCTTTCATATTTAAGAGAATTTTTGAAATTATTTTATTTTAAACAGATATTGTTTGGAGAACACAAATTGAAATAGCCAAATTCAATGCTAGTTTTAAATGCTTATACAGGTCATTTGAACTGTTTTAAAGGAAAAAGGGGGGAAAAAAGAAAGCACAATAATGCAAATAGTTTAGTTTAGGGGCTTTTTTGGGGAGAGGAGAGGGTATGACCTTATAATTGCAAAAATAATCATGTAAACAAGCCTTTCAAATATCACTTAAAAAAGCAATGTAGCAAATTAAATATTATAATGATAGTGAAAAGGAAAAAAAACACACCTATCCTAACGTTATATAAATAGACACTATAGCTTAGCATAAAAATTACATTGATAGCATCCTATACAGATTAGAAGATGGTTGAAGCACCCTCAATTTGCCCGAGAAACAACCTTGATTCATAACAGACATATTAAAGAGAAACAAATTTTTTGTTGTTGTTAAACTACTAAGATTCAGGGTTATGTTTTTTTATTTTTTTAAACAAAGCATAATCTAGCCAATACTTACAAATATAACGATCTACTGTACAATATAACCTTGAATTTCAATATAAAATCTAAAGGCAGTTTCATTTGGTTTATTTATATCTTTTTGTTCTTCCCTACATTCTGTTAGGAACAAAGCAATGTGTAAAATGATTCTCTCTCTCTCTCTCTCTCTCTCTCTCTCTCTATATATATATATATATATATATATATATCTGTATATGCTGCCCTAAAATATTCTCACCTATATGTATAAAATTTAAAAACTATTGCTTTTAAAAAATAAAAATAATTTCTTAAGTTCATCAATCATATAGAGTTTCTATTTATTTGTTTTAACATATCATAACCACAGTGTTTAAAAATCAATTTTTGGATCTTATTTATGTATTTAGTTATTTATTAAGCATTTGTATTGATTTTAAAAAGGAAGGGAGAGGGAAAGATAGAAACATCAATGATGAGAGAGAATCATCGATTAGCTGCCTCCTGCACAACCCCCACTGGGGATCGAGCTCGCAACCCAGGCATGTGTCCTGACCAGGAATTGAACTGTGACCTCCTGGTTCATAGGTTGATGCTCAATCACTGAGCCAACCTGGCCGGGCAGGATCTTATTTTTTTAAATGTCTGCATTTTTACAAAAAATATGAAAACCAAAGATTTTATTCTAAAACAAAAAAGGAATACACATAGTCACATGCACAGGGAGCTGGTAGTGTAAATTTACCAGATAGAGGTCTTTGTCCACACTGTTCATGCAAATAATCAAATCTCTGGTTTAATAAATGTTGAACCCATAATATAGAAGTATATTCTTTAATTAATTTAATGTTTTATAACAAGATGTAGTTTTATAATAGTAAACTGTATTCTTCATATTCCCATTTTCCATTGGATGTGAAGATTTCTCAAAAGCTAGTTGGAGATGGCCACCCAACCTTCTTGAGAGTATTTGTGAACATACCACTTCCCTCTTCTTGGTGCATGTTGTGTGGTTATATGCTCCCTTGGAAAACCAGGGTTTTGACTGAGCTATGCTTAATGAAGAGTGATGGCATTATCTGCAGCAAGGGTAACTAACATAGTGTAAAGCCCATCATTCCCATTTGGATGTGTTTAATCCTAGCTTTCCCCTTATCCTTCTTTATTCACCCCTTCTAGACCCAGCATATTTTTACCATATCACACCAGCATGTGCTACCACATCTTTCTGTATGCTGTTTCATTTTTCTGTTTCTTTGTTTACAATTCTTAATTCTACAATTTTATCTCAGATTAGAATATGTTCTAATGACATAAAGGAATTCTATAATTATATGCATTGGTATGAGAATCTAATAATTACCAACAATGCTTCTTAACATTATTTACTGTTTTCTTAAAAGAAAAAGATGTGTTTTATTGCCCACAATATTCTATGAAACCATTGTTTGTTTTAATTATGAAGCTATTATTGTGAAGATGCTCTTTAATCATCGTCATCCAGCTTGCAAATGTCACAGAACTGAATTATTAAATTAGTGTCCATGACCTAGTTTATAATAATATGGCTTAAATCAGCCACTGTTCCAGAAGAGAAACAGCACGGTATGGGCTAGATCAAGGCACTCCATGAGAGGCAGTTGTCCTAGACCTCATGCCCTCTACGTAGCAGTGAGACCTCAGCATGACATTGGACTTCACAACATAAAATTAACACATGGACATAACTACATTTTACTGGTTAGAACACAGGAGATAGGGCAAGATGATATCTTCAGGTTCCTTCCTTTTTTAAAATATATTTTTATTGATTTCAGAGAGGAAGGGAGAGGGAGAGAGAGACAGAAACATCAATGATGAGAGAGAATCATTGAGAATGTGCCCTGACCAGGAATGGAACAGTGATGCTCAACCACTGGGCCAGGCTGGCCAGGCTGCTGGTCCCTTCTAACACTAAAACCATTGGCTGACTTAGAATCAGGGTCACTCATATTAAGAATTGAAAGTTGTAGAAATTACTTGGCTTTTTTGGGTGGAGATCTATTTATCCAGAAATAATATGTCTATTTATCTGAAAGCCCTAACTAGATTAAAAGAAACAAACCTATTCTTCTAAGAAGAAATTTAAAAAAAGTATCAAAACTACCAAAAGATCTTTTCAATTTCATTGTTAAATATTATTACTCCAAGAAAGAGAGAGAGAGAGAGAGAGAGAGAGAGAGAGAGAACGAAAGAAAGAAAGAAAGAAAGAAAGAAAGAAAGAAAGAAAGAAAGAAAGAAAGGAAGAAAAAAAGAAAAGGAAAGGAAAGAGCAGCCAAGGAGTTAATGTTTTGTGAGACAACTCCATATTTTTTCCTTACAAATGTAACAGAAGGATGGCTAAGGATTTATTCCAAGTTTTCCAGTTCCAGGTTGCTGCACTGTGGACTAAAAGGAAAGCAATAGGCCTGGATTGCAGAAGAAAGTCTTCTCTTCTCAAAGAAAGTACTAGTAGAAGGACAGCACATTTAGATCTGGAAAAGTACTGATTGATAGAACATCCTCCCACTAACACTCGGATCAATTGGGATGGAACGGGGGAACAACACACAAAACCTTCAGCCAGTTCATTAAAAACATTTCTGCTTGAAATCTCTTTTTGATTTGTGGTTTTTCTTGATGACTTCTCCAGACATCTGCTTTTATTCTCCTACAACTTGTTTCAAAGGATAATGAAAGGTGGGTAGAAAAGATTTTTCATGCTCTATGAGAAAAAGAAAGTATACATTATTTTTGTCCTTGCTTTGATCATTCTTTCCATGACTCTCCAGTCAGCTTCATAAACTATTACTGAGATCAAAACATAATTCCTGTTACCGCTCTGAACGAGTATCTGCCCGAACACAGTGCAGATGTTTCTTTCATTGGCCAGCTCAGGAGCACAGTTTTTAGAAATATATAGCATAGAAGTCCTATAACCCTGTTCATTAAAAACAATTTGTCACTGACAAGGGTTCCTTGGAATCTCAGCTTATAGAACAGCTTTGAAATAAGACTCAAGTGTCATTTCTTTTCATTTAGCTACAGGGGTGTACCTGTTGTCCCTAATGATCTCATTTTCCCCATTTTTGTTGTCCTCAGTTTCTCCCAACTGGAGACAAGAATGTCCTCCTGCTGGACCCGGCTGACCCCAGTTATCTAGCAGAGCCTGGTCAGGTCAGGAGATGAGAGCGGTTTTGTTCGCACCACCTATCAATAGAGCCTAGAACTATTCTTCCTGCTTTATAATTGGCATCAGTGTAGAAAACGCTTGGATTGGAGCGTAAGAACATTCTGTTGCAGGTTTTCCCCCCTCATTTTCCACTGTATTAATACAATCATGAATTTACTCTGCTTTCTTTGTTGGACTTGAGATTCTCTCTGGGCTGGAGCTCACTTGGCTGACTCCCACTCCCAGTTTGACTAGCATCAAGTCTCTTTCCTGTGGACCCTGGCTCCTGGCAAGAGGTTTGCTGTGAGGAAGTGATAATCAGCATCAGATGTGGATTCCTGTTGTTGTTCTCCGCCTGACTGATGGGGACCCTAGTTACTCAGCCTTGTGGCCGCCATGACCTTTGGCTTTTGGGTGTTTGACTTTCTGGCTACTCCCCCAGAAGCTAGCTGCTCAAGACTGGTTGGTATCCTCATGCCCTGCTCTTTACACTATCAGTTTCTCATCATTTCTTGGTTATACATGTTGCTAAGTTACCAGGATGGCTCATGTTTCAGTCTGCCCAGTTTATGATACTATGACATTTTTCCTAATATGCACATATAAATGCATGTGTTCCATTATCTTAAGATACACTCACTAAAGATGAAGGCACTGTATCTCCAACTTTCCCTATCCTCAGATGCTGATGTGGAAGAAGGTAGTGTTGAAGCTACTTGGAAGCCCTTGAAGTGACTTCTCAATTGACTCTAGAGAACGATAGTTACTATTTATAACCTGTCCATCCACTTCAGGATCTACGACATGCCTGAATGACACTTCATGTATCTACCTGAGGCTGATAGAAATCACTTCTCAGAATTCCATTTCATGTTGGTTTCTGGACTCCACAAAACTTCACAAGGCATTCCTTCTCCTAACAACCCAATTGATTCCTAAAGTTGGTTTATATTTAGTCTCTGACTCCGTTAAGCAAAACCCATGATGTTGATATCTAAATAATATGATTTGACTTTATAGGTTCTGGTAGCTGAGATATCAAAGTTGTTCCTCTAGCACTGGAGTTTTATTTCCCACAACAGAACTTTAGTACTGCTGAGTTTCTTCCCATCTACTAAAAGCTTTTTTCTATCTACACAAGCTTTAATTCTCCTTGGCCTCCAAGAAATCATTTCTGGTATCTGGCCCAGATCATTTCTTCAACCTTATTCAGAAATCTTCATTTTCTCTAATATACCAAATCATAGCAAAGAATTCATTGCTCAGAATTTTTATTTTAACCATGTCCTTTGTAATGGAGATTGGATTCTTTTTGCAAACACAGAATATAAAGCTCATGATAATCTCAGGAAAAGGTATAATTATGGCACATCTAGGGCCCTGGAAAGTGTTCTTGGTGTCCCTACTTCCTGGGCTCACAGTGAACTACAAACTTATGTGTTTGTGCAAATGGATGGCCAGGCAACTTGTATGCTTTTGTATTGGTCACTAAGAACTCCTGCTTATAAGATTGTTTTGAAATCTGTCTGGCTTTTGTCTTCCTTTCAAGCTTCCAACCTGATCCATATGAGTAATTTTTACCTTATGAATGTTTGTGTTTCCCTTATGGATGTTAGACGTCCTATCCAACATGGTCCCTGGAAATTTTCATCACTATCATCCTGGGACTGCCTTCATCTCTCTTTTAAATTGAATTTACAGGTTGCTTGATCCTAGTCTTCCTCTTCTTTGTTTTTGCTGAAGCATATTCTCTGGTAGTTGCTTGAGAAGGGTTTTGTGAGAGTATGTTAGCGCTGAACCTGACAAAACAGAACCCATGGGAGAGAGACACTAAGGGATTTTGCAAGGAAAGGGCTTATGTGATGTGGGAGCTGAATAGGCAAGTCTGAAATCCATAGGGTAGTAGTCTTTCAGGAAAGGCGGGTTGGAAGTCTCAGCTACAGGCTGATGCTTCCGTCCACAGGTGGAATGCTTTACTAGTACTTCCTCCAGAAACCTCGGTTCTGCTCTTAAAGCCTTCCCACGGATGGGCTCAAGCCTACCTGGCAGATCTCAAATAATCTGTTTCACTTAAATTTAACTGATTATAAATGTCTACTTTCTCTATTTTTTCTTGATGTCCTAAAAGTTGTCTAAAAGCAACAAGAAAAGCTTGATGAGCCCTCCTTATTCAATGAGTGTACACCCCAGGTGACTTAAATACAATATCTCTTTTTCTTAGATATTATTGAATAAGTTGCTATGAACCTTTACTTTTGGTTCCCTTTTTTTCTAGTCTCAGTTTGAATCTCTGGGCTTCCATCAACACATCCCAGCCTTTCTACAGATAATAAATGGATATAATTAACTTACTGCTTTTTAAATTTACATTTGGTTCCTTGCCTGGATTTTTTTTATCTCCCCAGGAAAAAGAAAAGATCTCATAAAAATGGAACTTCTACAGCAGGCTACTTTCATCTACTGTAGTCCCCTCTTATCCATGGGGTTTATGCTCCAAGACCCCCAGAGGATGCCTGAAACCAAGGATAGTAACACACCTTATACATACTATTTTTTTTATGTGTCCATACTCATGATAAAGTTTAATTTATAAATTAGGCACAGTAAGAAAGCCCTGGCTGGGTAGCTCAGTTGGTTAGAGCATCATCCTGATATGCCAATGTTTCGGGTTCCATCCCCAGCCAGGACAAGTGAAACAACAAATCGATGCTTCTCTTTCTCTCTCCCTCCCTCTCTTTCTCTTTCCCTTTCGCTCTCTAAAATCAATGAATAAAAATTTAAAATAAAAAAGAAAGTAGGCATAATAATAGATTAGCTGCCGAAACCGGTTTGGCTCAGTGGATAGAGCGTTGGCCTGCGGACTGAGGGGTCCCAGGTTCGATTCCGGTCAAGGGCATGTACCTGGGTTGAGGGCACAGCTGCAGGAGGCAGCTGATCGGTGTTTCTCTCTCACCGATGTTTCTAACTCTCTATCTCTCTCCCTTCCTCTCTGTAAAAAATCAATAAAATATATTTAAAAAAATAATAATAGATTAGCAATGATAACAATAAAATAAAACAATTAAACAATATACTGTAATAAAACATATGTGAATGTGGCCTCTCTATCTCTCAAATATCTTTTTGTATGTACTCACCCTTGGTCTTCTTGGGATAATGTGAGATGATAAAATGCCAATGTGATGAGATGAAGTAAGGTGGATAAAACATTATTAAGTAAAATAAGGGTTACTTGAACACAAGCGATACCTAACAGTTGTCTGATAACCTAAATGACTACTAAGTGACGAATGGGCAGGGAACATACACAGGGTGGAGACACTAAACAAAGGGACGATTCACACCTTGAATGGAATGGCACAAGATTTCATTACACTACTCAGAACAGCTAGCAATTTAAAACTTATACATTTTTTCTGGCATTTTCCATTTAATATTTTCAGACAATCATTGACCATAAGTAACTGAAACAGTTGAAAGCAAAACCAAGGATAAAGGGAAAATACTGAACTGTGTTTCAATTCTTAATACATTCAGTCTCATATTTTGACCTTTTTCTGATCTTGCCTAAGATTCTAAGAGTTTCTCAGTATAGCCATTCAGATATTATATACTGTACATAAATTTGAACTTCTGGTATGAAAATTCTAAGAATGTGGACATTCTGTTCTTTAATCATTAGAAAGAAAATTATAACGTTTAGCATCTAATTTGCTACTTACTACTATGACAAATTCCACCATAAATAGCATGGGAAAAATACATTCCAGCTTCATCCACATTAGCAATGAATTTCAATTCATAACCTTCCCCAGTTGGCTTTAGAAGTACTAGCAATCCCTTCCCATATCCTTATCTATAGCTTCAGCTTCCAACCAAGTCCCTGAGACATATGGTTCTGTATTTCTTGGAAAGTTTACTGCAATTCATTACTATGTTCAAAATCCCTTGACTCCAGCTACAATGCTGGGGTAATTACTCCAATGTGGAAGAGTCAAATGCATGTGAATGTGCTTCTCCAATAATTTCTACTCCAAATCTTCAAAGCAACAACACATATTGTTGCTTAGATTTTAGAATTGTAGGGTGGAAACTGTTAAGTGTTGTGCATAATGCTACTTTGGACAGTGAGTATTGGGAGTACATGGCCTTTATTCAGCTTTGAACCCTTGGTATTTAAAAATATTGTACACCAAAGAAAGGGCTGGTCTGCATCACTGCTACTCAATAGTAGCTTTGTCAACAAACAACTAGATCAACCAAATGAAATATTCACAATCATAAGTAGTTGGGGCAACATTACTTATTGTCAAACTACTTTAATGCTATGGAATCCATCTTACAAATGATTTATGTGGAACCCCAATATATAAAACAGATAAGGAAAGGATTGCTCAGGTTCAGGAGTATGAGACGCAAGTGAGTTTAGCTTTCTCTTCATATCATTGTGGTCAGCAGAGCACATCTGTAGAATTCAGAGCTCCTCAGAACAAGCCAGGAAAACCATAATCTATATTAGTTCCGAGAACACTTTGCTTATTTGCTTAATAATATATTGATTACTTTTTCTATGTAAGGTGTAGCCAGTACGCATAGTTGGTGAGGCAACTTTTGGGAGGACTCATTGTACATAGCCTTAAAATAAACATCCAAGGGAAGAAATTACCATGGGAAATGAAATTTATGAACCTGGAGAGAATCTTCAATGTAAACATAAGAAGGGCACTATTATGGAAAAAAAGCTTGGAGCAGAAATGAATATAATCACAACCAAATATTAAAAAACATACTAAATAGGGCACACCTGACCTTGTTTGATCTGGGAAACTATGTAGAGCTAATCTTGGTAAATATGTAGATAGGAAATGCCCAAGGTTACCAAATAGTTTTGGAGCAAAGATGTAGCTGTGCTTTACTCAGGAAGTCATTAAATATAATGCTGTACTCACCAGCACTTTGGGCACAGTTGTTTGGCTTGTTGCGAACACAAATATAACTGAGACACACCAGGATCCTAAAGTGCTTTATGAGTCACCAAGAGAGA